TAGTAGTAGTAGTAGTAGTAGTAGTAGTAGTAGTAGTAGTAGTAGTAGTAGTAACTAGCAGTAGTAGTAGTAACTTAGTACTAGTACTAGTACTAGTAGTCTACTGTCTACTAGTATATAGTAGTACTACTAGTCGTAGTCTACTAGTAGTAGTCTACCAGTAGTAGTCGGCCTAGCAGTCGGCGTAGTAGTCGGCGTAGTCGTAGTGGTGGCGGCGGTGGTGGTGATAAAGCAACAGGCAAGCTTCGTCAGACGGGTATGAGGTGATGACAGGAGTGTATATACTTGCCCCAAAAACCGTCCAGAGTGTTCATAGATTCTGTGGCAGATCCCATGTAGTTCCATGTAGTTTGCCCCTCATGGGACATCGACCCAACAACTTCTGCAGTTCAAAGTCACATCCGCTGTTCTCATTCATTTTCTTCACAACAAAAATAGTGTTCTCATCCAGTTCATACAGTTCGAAAGTATATGGGAAAGTGACTGCCAACGACTTGCAGGTACTGGCGAAGGCCAATCCCACCCTCCGGAACCGCGAGTCCCGGAGCCCTGCAGAGGTGGCACGTCTCGGGACGACCGTTCGACGGGACGACCGGTCCGTTTGGGGCGAACGGTCGACGGCACTGCCTTGACGAACGAAACGGTGAAGGAACGAAAGATGGGTTGGAAAGTGGTGGAAGTGGTTCGAAGGTGTGTTTGTTTTGTTTTTTTTTTAACGGTATTGGTTAGTAGTGCATGGTCCTGTTTTGACATTGTCTTGACCAATTTGTTTTCCCTGTTGTCCACTTGAACACTTCGAAGTTCACAGAGTAGTCGTGCAAAAAGTGGATGTGTTTTGGAGATCCATATGGCTACTAGAATCCAGCGATTTGCAAGTTCTTTAGCTGGGGTGGAAAAGACTTGCTGAAGAATCACTATGGTAGCCTCAGATGTACCAAAAGGGTCGAAGATCCAAAAGGAGGCTTCAGAGCAGACCTTTGACAGCTGGGATTTTTGACAGCTGCTTTTGCTGCTGGAAGTTGGGCACAAGAAGTCGAATGTTCAATATCCTTGGGTTTTCTCATCATATATCACTGAATATTGCTCACGTGTCTGAAGTTGCCATTGATTATCGAGCTTTCAGAGAAGCGGTCGCACGACATGCTTCCAGCCAGCAGAAGAAATAGAAGATGCTTCCAACCTCCCTGGCTCATCAGCAGACAAATACAAGCTGATCAGTGCATGAAAAGAAGACAAAGGACAGAAGACATCCCAGAGCACAGCCATCGTTCGTGTGAATGAGATGTTGAGTCCAAGTGAAGCTGAAGTTGCGAAGCTGGCTTCATGTGGCTCAATCAGATCCTTCACGATCAAAAGCCATCGGATATTGAGAACGAGTCATTGGAGGGAATAGATGCAGCCCCGTGACTTGTAGAAACAAAGTATTCTAGACCGTTGCGAAACACTTCTTGGATCAGGATCCGCAACTCAATGACCATCCAACACACACACACACAACAAGCAGAGCAAGCCGAAGCGGCTCTAATATGCGTGAGCTCATGTGGGTGTTGGCCCTGTGGACGCTGTTGCCACCTGTGGTTGCCGAGCTGCTTTGTTGGCCGGACTCAGTTCCGCAGAGGAGCTCCGACTTATGTTTTTGACGTAAGTTTTTCCCCTGTGAACTTTCCCAATGATCATTGATTGGTCCAGGAAGCAAGTCGGGAGTGCGATTGGGCACTGTTCAATCATGTCAAAGGCAAACCGGGTACCGGGATTACCATCAACATCCATCAACCCAGAAGATCACATTGATACAATATCGTGAAGGCAGTTTGTGCTTTGGAGATCTGAACACTCAACAATATGCTTTCCCTCTCTTGATCTCTCTTCGAGCTGCACACACATGGTGTATGGAGTCCGTAAGCTATTCAACCTCCTAATAGCAACACAGACACAAAGCTTCGGCCTGTGATCTTTGGAGCGAAGTGCAGAAGACTAGATGTCATCTTGTTTTGAACATGGGCCTTGGCAGCCAAAGCTGTGATCCTTCTTTCCTCTAAGTAACAAGTGCATCGCTACTAGTAGCAAGAAGCTAGCTTAGGAGCAAAGACGCTAATGGGCGCTCCTGGCCTTACTACTAGTAACAAGAAGGCTACGTTCGGGGCTCCTGGCGTCGCTACAAACGGGGCCACTGGAGCAGACTGTCCTTGGAGAGTTCCTTTCAGACTGTCCGATCCGTCTCGGTATCTCGGTCCGAAACTACGGTCCAGGAGCCGCAGCGCCTGGTCGGAGGCCCGCTGTTTGCTCCAGAGCTCTGCTGAGGCCGAGTCAAGCCCAAAACGAAGCCAGGAGCCCCTAGTAGCGTCCTTGCTCCTAGTAGTGAGGCCAGGAGCCCCTAGTAGCTTCTTGTTCCTAGTAGTGAGGCCAGGAGCCCCTAGTAGCACACAAAGGCACGCGGAAGAGACTTTTAAGACTTAAAGGAACCTACTCGCGATGGCCTCCAACCTAAGAGCGATGGCCTGCAACCTATATGAACATTCCTGGCAGATCTCAAGTTCAGACGACTTGTTTCATGCCATCCTAGTCAAGTCGATAAGATCGTTTCCAGAATGAACCATTCAAGTCCGGACTAATTACATCTCATTACTCGCTTTTTACAGGTCAATATGGTCTTTCAAGAACCATGCAATGAGTTTTGTTGGGGATGAGATGATTTGATAAATCTTGGATGCCCATCACAGTCACACAATCATTCGCCAGGTCCCGCGTTGTGGCTGGCGTGTGGCTGGTCGCAGTCCCGCGCGATGGGAGGTACATCAAAGGGTTCGGCTTGACAATTTTCATGACTCTAAACCAAGGTCAACAGCCCGTTGAAAACAAACGTGCTTTCTATCATGTCGACATGAACTAAGGTATGTCACATCTGATCATCTTGTCACATGATTCACATGTTCCAATCAGCAACATTTGTATCAGGAACAAACGGCTATCAGGCAGATTCAGCACTTGGCTGAGGACTAAACTCGACTAAAGCGATGTTTGCTCCCGACTTTTCGCTTTTTCGCAATGCAGGTCTCTGCTACGTTGGACCACCGGGACGCGGTCTGCGACCTCACTTGGTCGCCCAGTGGGCGAATCACCAGCGCCTGCGCGGATGGCACGGTGAGCCTTTGGGAGGCGCACCGAGTTTCGTTGTTACATATAGAAATAGAAATAGAATGAATGTAGAACAAAGGCTTAAGACAGACCTTAAGGAACCTGCTAGCGATGGACTCCAACCTAAGATTGATGGGTTGCGTTGGTGAAGGAAAGGGCACAGATGTGCAGCTCCGCTTCGGAGTTGCTTAGGATTCAATCGTTGCCGCTCTTGAGATGCTTAGTTTGAAGATTTTCCGACGAAGCGCGAAAGCAAAGACCCTTTCAAAGACCCGAGTCTATTCAGAAACAGTTGCAGCGAAATTTGAGGCAAGTATCCGTTGTTTTTCTCTTTAAACTGGTCGGCTTAAGCTTTGGCTCGAAAGGATAGCGTTGAATCATTCATTACACAACGGCCTACGGAGGCCTACGGCCTGCATTGCCAGGGTCGGCCCTGCAAATCACAGAAAGCAGTGAGAATGGAGATGCGGAACATTCAAGATGATTGTCGATTCTGTATATAGCTACCAAACATCATTGATTTCTACTGCAGGTTTCCTCTTCTGGCAAGCATGTTTGGTGAAGCAATACTCATTGCAGTTGACAATCGTGGAGATACCTGCAGAATGTGCCATGGTGGTTTGCAAGGCATCACTTTGCCTCTTGCAACTTGTTGGCACATGCAGGCACATGCTGGCGTTGAGGTCATTATGTGTGTATGTGTGTGTGCACGCGCCTAAGTGACAGTCGACTTTTCCGAGAAAACCTTCCAGGCCCTTGTAGCGGTACTCATGTGACAGTGCCACCGCACACTCGCCAGGCTTCCCGAATCCTAGTACTAGTAGATGGTCGGTAACCTTCCTTCAAGTCCAGTTTCAGAGTTAGTCCTTATAGTTTTCTTGCACTTTAAGGGACGAACAGGACCAACAAGGGTCATTCTGAATGATCCACTGCACACAGCAGATTCCGTCCAAGGCTGGCTGTACTGCTCTCTCTGGCAGCTTTTGCTTTGGAATATTTGGCGCAAAGGATCTCTGAACTGCATATGGAGCAAAGCGAGCACCTGGGCTACCATTTGAAATGCCTCGAAACCCGACTTGAGATTGATCAAAAGAAAATCCAGCCAGCTCTTTCACCATAATCACAGTCTTTTGTTCAAACTTGATAGTCGCATGATCCGTTTCACCATGCATCACTTCCTTCACTCCTTGTCGTAGCGTTTTGGTGTTCACCATCCTCCGTGTTTCCGCTTCCTTCCTCCTCGCCCGACTGGGAGCGCCGGGAACAGGTTGCTCTGCCCGTCGGCCGCCGCAGACTGCGCGCCCCTCGCGGAGCGTCCGGAGCTCGAGGACCTGGAAGGAGTCGCGGTGAAGCGCTACGGGCTCGGTCACGTGAGCGAGACGGAGAGACGGATGGCATGGGAGGGACGGAGAGAGACAGGACGGATGAAGGGTCGAAACCGAAGAAGAGGTGGGAGAGAAGCCTGGAAGAGAGGAAGAAGGTGGAAAGGTGGAGGGGTGTCATGTTTAGGAGGGTATGGTGAGAAATGGTGAGAAGGGATGAGGATGGAGAGAGGGGTCATAGATGGCAGCTTCCAGAAGTGGAGTGTGGTGCAGTGAGGTGGTGAAGTGCATTCCATGATGGAGGTTGAGTCAACAAGCCAGCTATCATGGAGCAAGTCATGGAGCAAGTTCCAGGTGTGTTGTAGGCAAGATTGAGATGGAGTTTTTTAGATCGGACGCAGACGGCGCACCATTCTCTTAAGTTTGCGAACGGAGATGATGGGTCCATTTAGCCAAATGAGCGGAGGTGGCTGTGGTGGTGCCCTGGTTTACTTCCAACATATTCACTCACGTATCGGCAACGGTTCTGACCTGGCTGAGGTTTCTTCCCAGATCTTCTGAACGACAGCCTGCAATCCGAGCTACGAACATACGTCCAGCTGAACTCCCCGGCAGGCGGCAAGGTGGGGCACGCCCAGGTCCAGCTGAAAGTTCCCTCCTTTTCTCTATAGAACCCGGAAGCTGATTTGGGAATGCGCTTTGCTTGAACAAGCGCACTGTGGTTAGAAGACCTTGAAGGTTGTGAACCGAAGAGAAACAGCTTGGAGTACAGCTTGGCTATTCATGCGAGTTCCTTTTTTTGGAGGAGTATCGTAGCCACGGGCAGTTGGAACTAGTAGCATCCAAGTGGTGGATAGGCACATGGCATTACAGTAAGAATCAAGACACACGATGTGTGCATGGGTGACATTTAGGATAGACAATTCACTGAATCACTCAATTGTTGGTTTTTCATTTGTTGTCAACATCCAACTCGATCAGTTTGACCCGACCCACAGTGGTCTGCCAAGCGGTTGAGATGACCTTGATCCCCACTGCACCTTCCCAGGCCCACGAGCCCCGCCGCGTCCTGCTGGACCTGCACGACCTCCCGGTGCAGC